TGGTAATTGCTTTCATAAATCCATATACTCCTACACTCAGCCTTCAAAAGCGGGTTCTTAAGGAGCACAAGGGATGTGACAGAAGATGCATCCATGCTCCCTTAGAAGAAGCTGCAGCTTTTTGACACTCCTGAGAGTGACTAATCCAGCTAATGTCTAACAGCAAATAGCCTCCCTTACACAGGCCGTACAGGAAGCCCTCTGACGGTAGATCTGCACTGCACGCTTTATATCGATTTGGCCCACATTCTTGAAAGGATTCTGGGAGTTGTAGTTTGGTGAGTGCTCCCCCCCCCCCGCACTACCATTGCAGGGGCTGACAAAGACCTATTAATTTTTTTTTTTTAATTATCAGTCATTAGGATAAAGCCGCTGAATGGTGATGAGACGGAGGGGGAGCGATAAAAGTCGTCTCAGCCGAGGAAACGCTGAAAGGGCGCTGGCGGGGTCTCAACAGGGGGGGAGGGAGTGAAGCCCCGTCGGCCTCTCCTTCTCTGCTGGATGCGTCTCCTTCTCTTAAAAAAAGCCTCCCCCCTTCTCGCCAACGTTCCTTTATTTGGGCGGGAAAACGGCGGCGAGTCGGAGTCCTCAGCCTCAACCGCTCCCGCCTCAGGAATGTGGTGGTGAGAAGCCAATTCGGTGGGATCCAGCCAGGTGCCCTTTCTCTTATGCGGGGCTCCCCTTCTGCGCACGAAAGGAGGTTTCCGTTCAAAACAAGGACTTATCCCCTCCCTGAGCATCTGGACCCCTCTTTTTGGATGCTTCATCCCAGTGCCCTGGACAAGTCGAGAAATTAACATCCCGCCCTTTCCCCTGTCTTTAACCGACCTCTTTCATATGAGAAGGTGTTGTGGGTTAACAGACTAGGGAAGCGTAGGTATTATTATCGAGCAGATATTTGTAATGCTCTAGGCCCAAGGATCTCTGAGTGGCAGACATCTCATATGGGTCGGTGACAGTCTCCGGTTGGGGGTTGGAGATCTCCCAGGATTACATCTGATCTCCAGATGACAGAAATCTGTTCCCCTAGAGAAAATGGCTGTTTTGGAGGGTGGACTGCATGGCATTATTCCCTGTGGGATCCCCCCCTCCCAACCTCCCCCTTCCCAGGCTCTTCCCCCAAATCGCCAGGTATTTCCCAAGCTGGAATTGGCAACCCTACTACATGGTTTTCTCCTCCTTTAGGACAGTGTTAGGTAGGTTAAGAACAAAATTTGAGAACATAGCATCTTAAAAACCAACAATGTTTTCCAAGGTATAAGCGTTTGTGAGTCAAAGCTCACAAAAGCTTATGGTGGGGGGAAATACTCTTTAAGGTGCTACTAGACTTGAACAAAGAAGATTGAAGGTCAAAGAAGACGGGGACGGCAAAGGATGAGATGGTTAGACAGTGTCATAGATGCAACGAACATGAAATTGAGCCAACTTCAGAGGACGGTGGAAGACCGGAAGGCCTGGCGTGATCTGGTCCATGGGGTCGCGGAGAGTCGGACTTGACTGTGCGACTGAACAACAACAAAACACTTGAATTGTGTTCTCTTCCATTTTTATCTTCACAACAGCCCTTTGAAGTGGTAAAGGCTAAGAGAGAATGAATGGCCAGTTAGTTTGATGGAGAATGAGGGTGTGAATCTGTATCTCCCCAGGCTCAGTTCAATGCCTTACCCCTAAGCTGCATTGGAGTGTGAGTCCCAGTAAAGGAAATTACTATGAAAACCAGCTTTTACTAAATGTAATATGTTTTTCTTACATATATTTTTTTTAAACCTGCACTTCTGCTTCAATAATGAAAATCATGCCCTTTTTCTTACAGAGGTTAAGACAAACAGTGCTGTCAAGTTGCAAAATGGAAAATACCAGGAACAGACAATGTGGTAAGACTGATAAAATGATTTTAAAATGCCTGTAAGTTTACTTATTGATGTCTCAGTCTGATTCTAACAAGAGCTGGCACAGGCATCTCCTTCTGAAGAGAGATGTCTAATTTAAATAGTACGGAATATTAGGGATCACACTCCAGGGATTAATGCTATGGTTTTACCAAGGCTCAATTTTGTTGGTTTTCAAGTGGAGAACAAAGCCCCAGTAGGCTATGACTTGAGAGGACCACTATTTGAGTAGTATACTGTCACTCTAAGCTGTTTTGGGAGCCAAAGATGCTGAAAAGTGGGAAATAAATACACATAGATTCTGGTAATGTTTGATAAAATAGGTTGTTTTTAAAAGCTTATCGTATTTTAATATTTATTTATAATATAGTGAAATGGTTATATATTTAACTGTGTCAGTTTCACTTATCTCCCATACTGGGGACTCAAAGTCCAGACCTCTGACTTCCCGGATGCGTCCTTTGTCTCCCAGCAGCAGCATTTCAAGAGACATTTTGGGCCTCAGTGGCAAGGGGAGGCAAGAAAGGTCAGCTCTGCTGGTGGAAATCTCTTCTGTCAGTGGACATGTTTGGTGGGATCCAAGGCCCTGTATTCTCAAAACATAACTGGAGCTCTCAACTGCATTGGGATGCTCATGGAATGTTTGGGTATTCATTAACTAGCCATTTAGCCATTATATAGTACATTTTTATTTCACCTTCTTACAAGGTACTCAGAGGAATATACATCATACTCTCCTTCATTTTATCTTCACAACAATCCTTTTCGGTATACTAGGCAATATCTGGGGAAAGCCTTGGCCTCTATGCCCTATTGTTAGGCCTCTATGCCCTATTGTTAGGCCTCCATACCAATTGGTTGGCCACTGTGTGAGATAGGAAGCTGATGGATCACTGGTCTGAACCAGTGGGGTTCTTCTTATGTTCCTATTAAAATAGGCCAAGGTCCCTACGGAAGAGTAGGGATTTGACCAAGTATCCCCCCCCAGATCCTAGTCCATCACTACACTATGCATAATAATTCCAAAATCTCTTGGCTTTATCCTTACAGAGATGAAAACGGACCTGAATTTACTCCTCGAATGTCTTAAGTATCAGATGGACCAGCCAACTTCTCAAAAGGAAGTCTTGGTTACTATTTATTCAGTTTGCCACCAAAACAGTATGATACATTTTTGTTTTACAGTCTTAGTTGTTGCTTCTTGTTTTTGTTCCCAGATGGCAGTAATTTCTTTTTAATGCAAGGCCTTGTTTATTCTTCTTTTGCAACAGGTGATGCAAGTGATTATTTTCGAGAAATAGGTGGCCTGATGTTTGTAAATCACCTGGTAAAGTCAAGTGTGCACAGCATAGTAAAGGAATCTGCCTTATATACACTAGGAGGCTTAGCTGAGAACAATGGTAAAATATAAATATTTTCATATGTTATTATATCATAATATCTTTAAGTAGCAATGGCTGCAGTCCTAAGCATACTTCCTAGACAGTAAGACTCATTGAATTCAATGGAACTTACCTCTTATACCTGCCCTGATTTCCTTATTTTGCTTCTTTGCACCTTTCTGCAAAAAGAGTAGTTATTTTAATGTATTTAACAGTTTACAGAATATTTGATTCAAGATTCTTGATTCAATTAGAGCCATATTGTTACCTGAGGATTCCCTGTAATTGAGAGAATTTTTGTAAAATGTAGCTGACTCATTATCAGTGGTGTGTGGAACATTGTTTTTTTTTGTACAGTGATTGTCCAGGAATGTATAATGACAACTACTCATATCACAATATTTTAAGTTTCACCAGAAATGCATGAAAAGGTGGTCTATACCTCTTCCTGTCTTATAGGCTACCTATAGGTTTCTGGCATTAACTCTTGAACCACTTTCTGAGTTTGTTGGGGTTTTTAAAAAACCTGTTATACCTCAGGTCAAATCATATACACGTGATTCTGCAGACTTCATTCAGAGACTGATAAATATAATTTTTCAGCCCTATTACAACCTATTGTGTGTGTAAAGAGTGTGTCTTGGAATTTAATACATGATTTACTTTGTATTTCCTTTTTAAAGTTCATGTAAAGTTTGTACATTAGACTTCTTTTTTTTAAATCAGCAATTAGAAGGCTTTGTTGCATTAATATATGATTTACTTTGTATCTCCTTTTTAAAGTTCATGTGAAGTTTGTACATTAGACTTTTTAAAAAATCAGCACTTAGAAGGCTTTGTTGCATTAATGTAATAAAATCCATTATATATTATTCAGAGGAACATTTGTGTTGTTTCAGTGTTCTGTCAGGAGATTCTGTGTACTTCTGGATTATTTGAAGACCTTTGTATGTTTCTAAGTCAGAAGAATTCCAGTGTGAATTTGAAAAGAATGTCTGTTTATGTCTTATTAGTACTTGTTTCAAATAACAGTAAGTCGTTCCCTCTACCTATGCATAAATTACAGCTATTCACACACATATACACAATTTAAATCACAATGGTTGCCATGTAGAAGAAAAAGTATAATCCTAAACATGCTAGTTCAATGGAATTTACACTCTAATCTCTGTATTTAGGATTGCAACCTTAGGCCCCGGTCACACGGCAAAGTTGCCGCGGGAGAGGCACGGGAGTCCTGCAGATTTTCCGGGTGCGATCTCACCCCAACATCTGGGAAGCGCAGTGCTCCCGTGGCGAACCCGTGGCTCCCCGCCGAAGGTGCAGAGTTAAAAACTAGTACCTACAAGGTACTAGTTTCTTGAAACCGCGGGCCAAGGGCTGGCGTCTGATCGCGTTTCCGGTGGATTTATGTGGCATCCGGTGCCCGCCGCTGTTCGTTTCCGCAGGTTCCGCAACCGCCCAACAGCGCATGCGCACAAAGGGCGATTGCTAGTGCGATCGCGTGGCGTGGCTTCTGTGCCGCGCTGCAGGATACCTGTCTGATCGGCATTTCCCCTGAACCACGGGACCTCGACCGGGACGTGTGCTCGGGCAGCCGCACGATAGTTTCCTCCGGGGCAATTAGCCACGCCTCCCCCCCCCCACAGCATCCCGCCCCCGGGACTGGGGCCTTAAATACTTTTAGGTCAGATTCAGGTGGGTAGCCCTTTTGTCTGAAGCAGCAAAACAAAGTTTGCGTCCAGTTTAAGACCAACAAATTTTACAAGCTTTCATGTGCATGCATACTTAAATAAAACTTTGTCGGTCTTAAAGGTGCCACTGTACTCAAACTTTGTTCTACTGTTTGGTCAATTAGAGTTCAGTATCACAATTTGCATAATTCCAGCACCATTTCATTTTGGATACATGAAATGTAGCATCAGATTTTCCACCAAGTGAAGGAACCAAATCCGAAAACCATGAAATAAAACATTTGACAATATATATCATTTTGAATAAAATATTACTTTTTCAGGCTTTGTGTCACTAATATGTCTAGAGAACATTGCCTATTTCATGTTCTACACTTCTTTGACATGCCTTTAAGATAATGTGTATTTGGCTGCTGCTCCCTTTAGAATACATATTCAGTATCATATGGAGGAGTGTTCCTACTACGTAATGTGTAAATGGTCGAAAATTTTCACAGTTTGCTACCTATAGTATTTGAAATACTTTGTCTTTTAACAATTTTACACACCAATATATGGTCATTTTACAGAGAATGGGCAAACATATGTGAGAGAATCTGGTTGCCTTGACGTTCTGTTACAATTATTCAGGTAAGCAAGCAAGCTAAGCTATTGCAGTTAAAACTTGTACAATAATGTTTTAGAATGTCATTTTCACCTTTGTCGTCTTTCCTCATAGAACAACTCTTTCAATATCTGAGATGAACCTGTCAGATAATGCTATTAACCAGTCCTATCAACTCTGGTCTTCGGTCTGCAGTGCTCTCTCTGCATGTGTCAATAATCCCCAGAATGGTAATGACACTTGCTTAATATTTGCTTTCATTGCTCGTGTGATGACAGAAAACATGAAAAAGACAACAGTTTTCAATTGAGATTTAATTCATACTGTTTCATCACCTCCAGAGGACAATCAGAAAAGCTGCAGTTTGGTTTTTCCATATGCAAAAGACTGCCTGCAATGTTGCACAAAACCTGAGATAGTTCGCCCGATTTGTTCATTCATTGGGCTCACCGTTGCCAATAATTGTAAGTATCTTAACACTGTGCAATGACATTATGTTTCATGGACCCAAGGTTCATTTAGTAATACTGAAAAGCTTAAGTTCTTCAGTTGGAGATGGGATAACTCCTGCTGTCTCCAGTGTTCTTCATCTCCTGTAATGGGAGCACAGAAAAGTGGTGCCCTACTTTTGTGGTGCTATCAAATTTTAGAAGTCACAATGAAATTGGATATTACTGTAAGGAGAGTGCCAGAGAATGTGTGAATGCTACCTTTTACCAAGTCAGAACACTGGACCATTTAGCTTACTGTTGTGTAGTCTGAGTGGCAGCTGTTCACAGAATGGTCTTTCCCAAACTTGCTACTTGAGATCCTTAACTGAGACATCCAGAACTATACCAGGAACCTTCTACATGCAAAGCAGGTGCTCTGTCACTGAATCATGGCACACACACCCCAAGTGAACTTCTGGCTTTATGAGGATTCCTGGAAAGTTATACTACAGTATCAAGTAAAAGTATTTCTGGCATTATTAGTGCCAGGAGGCCACACTAGGGGAAGACCTTGGCCTCTATGCCCTGTTGTCCCCCCCAGAGTAGTTGGTTGGCTGCTGTGTGAAACAAGATGCTGGACTAGATGAACTACAGGTCTGATCCAATAGGGCTCTTCTTATGTTCTTTCTAAGATGCCCTGGAAGCGTTTTGAAGTTCTGCTTTTTAAGCCTGCTAATATTCTGATTATTTGTGAGGGAAGGTGCTTTTATTTTTGGTTGTTGGCTAGTTTTCATCCCCCCTCCCCCCCAAAAATACAGTGTTAAGAGAATGAAATTCCTAAGAATTTCTCAGAAATGTATTTTACTGAGACGATGCCTGTAAATTACTGGCTTATAGGGAACTCTTAAGGAGTGTGTCTGGTAACTCACATTTATTTATTTTTCTTCAAGCAAGATTACAACAGTTTTTTGTTTCGATTGGTGGATTAACCATGTTGGATGTACTTCTTGCCAAATTGATATACAATTCATCAGGGAATTCTTCAAGCACAAAACTTGCAGTTGTGGTGACAAAGACCCTGGATGCCTGTATTGCTGATAATTGTGAGTGAACAGAGCCAGAGATCATTAAATACCCTACTAGTAAATGTGCATGTTGTGCGTGAGAAGTGCTGTCAAGTCACTTCCAATTTATGGCAACCCTATGAATTAATGACCTCCTAAACAGCACCCTTGCTCAGGTCTTGCAAACTGAGGACCTTGGCTTCCTTTACTGAATCAATCCATCTCATGTTGGGTCTTCCTCTTTCCCGTGCATTATAATTCTGCCCCCCTTTGCATTTACATTCTCCCCACACATTCCTTCAGGGATCCTGTGAATGGTTAGAATTGAACTTAACTGGAAGGAAGTATTAACATAAAGCTTCTCATGGTGTCTCACTGTGTTTCATGCTTAATGTGCTTTTCCCCCTCTCTCTAAATTATTTTGTACCAAATAGATGCAGTTGGAGCTGCTGTGGCAAGATATAACATTGTGCCCAATCTACTGACGTTGCTTTCTTACAACATGATGAATTCAGGAGAAAAATTCAGTATTATACTTACCCTTGGACACTGTACAGATGGCTGTGGTAGGATTCACATTTATTTTATGAAAGTTGTTCTTTAAATTGAGCATATTACTGCTGTATTCAGTTGCAAATTGCATTGGAATCTTGGTGTACAGCTCTTCCATCTTAACCATAAATTATTAAAATTATCCGTGTTGCTGTTGCTGCTTGTGAACCATGATTAGTTTTAACAATCTCTCTTCTGAATGTGCCAGCGAAGACATAGCAAATTAGAGAATGTTTGAGGCGCTAAATAAAGGTCTATCCAGAAGCCCAGGAAAAGACATGTACACCATCTCTTCCCTACCCAAACATAAAGTGATTAAATGTTACTTATAAATTTACTATATTTAATAGGATTAGGCACATTTTGAATTTTGTAACTCAAATAGTACCTCAGGAGGCACTCTGAACTAACAGATGACATATGCGAGATGTGTAAGAAACTTCTGACTCGGCTGCAGTTTGGGGGGGGGGAGCAGCTGTTCTTGTACTCCAAGCTTCATCTGAATCTGGCCAGGACTGGATTTAGAGTGCATGATTTGGCACCAAGTTGCTTTTTGGGCTCTCTTCCTATTGTGTCTGTCTATCAACAGATAAGGATAGGCAGTATGACTGAGGCTGAATTCCTATTTTACAGGGGACCTGGCAGGATGGGACTTCCTCCTGTTCAGGACCTGAAATGTTTAATGCATTGTAAAGTAAGTCTTCAGTACCACATTGTAAATATGAATTCAAAAAAGGAAAGAAAATAATGTAGCCATGCTGGAATTTTCAAACAAACATGTCAACAGCATATTTCATTCTAAAATGAAAATTAATTTTGTTGCTATCTCTTGTTGACATTTGCTATACTTTTTACTCAGGCGATCCAGAAAAATACATGATTGTAATTTCCCATGTAGAATCTTGGAAAGTCTACAAAATCCTGATAATCCCAGCTTTTGTATTAGTTTAAAATAAATACAGAGTTGTTTTTTTTAATGCTGCAGTCTTATACATAAATGTGCATCATTCCCATCAAAGTCATTGTGGTGGACTGAGAACTGCAGTCTGAGCTTATGTTCAGTTCACTTCAATTTTATGTCCTATGCCTTGCAAATGATTACAGTAGGTGGCCAAAAATTACTCATCACTGCAACCATCATAACAGCACACAATATGAGACTCAACAAAGGTAGCATGGGACTTGGAGAATGGGATTTGGCTGCTGATAAAGAATATTCCTTGACATTTATTTGTTAATAAAAAGTCAATCCTTTGATGCACTGACCAGTATTCTAAGTTCAAGCAAAGGAGGTCATCTTAGAGCAGGCTACTGATTCTGTGCAAAGTGTTCAGATACGATTGACTGAAGCTGAAAGTAGGGATTGCAGAATTACTGTATTGCATTGTTTTTCCATCCCAAGCTTTAGTTATTTACGTTATTTATAGTTTGCCTCTCTCACTAAGAGTCAAGGCAGATTACACAGTGCAAATAAGTGAAATCAATTAAATAAAGCTTCTAATAAACTAAATGATAGGACTGGGATTACAGAAATCTGAAAAAAGCATAAGTATTAAACATGATATGTTAAAATGAGGAAGAAAAGGCATTGCATAAGGAAAAAGCAACGCAGTAAGAACAAGACAATTACATACAGCAATAGATAATACATACTATGCAGAGTAATATAGTCCATAGTCTCTATGAAGAACATAAGAACATAAGACAAGCCAATGTTGGATCAGGCCAATGGCCCATCCAGTCCAACACTCTGTCACACAGTGGCCAAAAATACCAGGTGCCATCAGCAGGTCCAGCAATGGGGCCAGGACACTAGAAGCCCTCCCACTGTTGCCCCCCACCCCCAGCACCAAGAATACAGAGCATCACTTGCCCCAGACTGAACGTTCCTATCTATACCTTGTGGCTAATAGCCACTGATGGACTTCTGCTCCATATGTTTATCCAATTCCCTCTTGAAGCCATCCATGCTTGTAGCTGCCACCACCTCCTGTGGCAGTGAATTCCATGTGTTAATCACACTTTGGGTGAAGAAGTACTTCCTTTTATCTGTTCTAACCCCTTCCTGAATCTTTACATTATAATATGGCCTTATTACCTTTACAAAAATATCCTCCTGAATACCTTTACAAAAATATCCTCCTGTTGCATGTAGACTGTGGAATGCCAGAAGTGTGGGAGCCTTCCTGGCCTCCTCAGGCAGGCCATTCTACAAGGTGGGGCCCATGATGGTGTGAAGTGCTGCTAATTAACATTACAGTCTGAACCGATGTTTTACTGGCCCTAATGCTGTTGTGTTTTAGAGGAGAATCAGTATGCTCTGGTTAAGAACAACGGACTTCCACTTATGATTCAGGCCCTAACTGAATCACAGGATGAAGAACTGAACAAGGCTGCAACCTTTGTGCTTCAGAACTGCAAACGTATCAGTAAGATTGCTGTTTCTTTAATTTCTGGGGTTTAAAAAAAATATTTTTAGGGCAGACTTGTACATATCTCTTGCCAGGCTGCTTGTGATGACTAAGAACTGCCTTCAATTGACCAGGCTGAGGAAGCTTTTGGTAGACTGAAAGATTGTCGATTCTTCCCCTCTCTGAGGCTGGGCCTCATCTACTCCCAGCCAAGCGACATGCTTTGCTGCTGCTCAAGTGCAAGATGAGCTCCAGTGACTTCTTGCACCTGGATGGCAGCATGAGAGGAAGGGACAGGCATGGCTCTGTCACCTCCAAACTGGAACCAATGCCACCATGCTTCAGGCAGTGGGATACCCAGGGCCTAGATATTTCTGCTTTGCCATGTTCTGAAAATATGCCCATTGAAAAATGCAGTACTCACAGATTACATTCTATTTACACACAAATAGTAGTTTATCATAGTGAGTGGTTAAGAATATAAATAACAGTATATTAATGATATTCAGTTGCTGGTTAAAAGAAATAAGCCCCCTAGTGTGGGTGGGGGGCAATGGCAAATAGCCACAACAGGGGCAGGGAACATGGCAGTCCTGTGAGTGGGACTGGAAAAACGTAGATTTCCCCATCCACATGGCAGCCATCCAGGCTTTACTGTAATAGTTCCCAAAATTTCACAGCAAAGCAGGTTTGGAAAAAAAACTGGGGAAAGACAGGAGGAGTGCACCATGATGCCTTGAGCAAGCAGAAGAAAACAGAACAAAACCCTGCTGCCCAGCAGTATTGAACTGGGGCAAATAACCCATATGGAAAAGATCTAATAGCTGACGGCTGACTTTGCTTCTGGCTTTCCTGGCACTGAAATAGAAATCATATGAAGAGAGAACACGTATGAACTACTTTTCTGAAGAATCTCCCTTTGATAATGGAAAGAAACTAGGCCAAAATTGCCATGACATGACCTTGTGCCTTTCTTGAGAGCCAGATTTCATAACTGAAAATACATATTTCTCTGTTATTACTAATCCAAGTGATAATTTTTGTTCTTTTTCAAAAAGCGGAGAAACTGTCAGTGAAACTAAGTGAGGATTCATCAAATACAGACGCTGCAGGACATTTAGAGGAAGACCTACAGCACAGAGAGGGGATTATTGAAGACTACAGGGTGAAAGCAAAACAAATTTTGGATCGCATTGAACAGCTCGAAAATGAACATCAAGAGGTTTCTCGTTTGTTTTGAAGTGTAGTAACTGGAGAATTCTGTCAAAATCCAAGGAAAAGAATGGGGTTGTGTGCAAGAGAATTCTATGTGAATTACAAAAGGGGGAATTGTAGTCAGGGAAGCTATATTTATCTTGTCAGCTGGGTTGCTGCAGTCTTTGTAATATCTTCACTTCCCTAAGGTTAGGTGTCCAGCTTACGCCACTTGCGTTTACCACCTCAATGTGTTGTTGAATGGTCGTCAGGAAATTTCTAACGGTTTAAGTAGAGTCAGTGTGGGTTTGTTTAAGGACACATCTCTTAACAATACAACTCTGGTTCTTACGAGATATGAATTAACAAAAAAATACAAAGTGAAACGACTCATCATGATTGTCCAGGCAGGATTCTCATCCATGTCAGCATCAACCTATGGAATTCTACAAGCTTGGCCTGAGTGTTATGTTCTGAGCTGGATAAATTGGGCACACAGGAAACTGTTTGCACGATAAAGAACTTGGTTCATTTACAGAAACACAGTAGTCTGATTCACATGTAATGACCAATGTATCTTGTCATAGGTATAAGCACGGAGGATTCTCAGGCTCACATACATCCTCCCTTTGCCCATGGCTCAAAAATCAAACACTCCTGTTTTTGAAGCAAACTATAGTTTGTTGTTATCGCTTACTGACCAGTTACTGTTTCTTCTCCCACCTCCAAACCAGAATTCCAATCCATGGTTTAATCCCACTGTGAGGGGAAGAGAATAAGTCGTTAGTGTGTTGTGCAGACATAATGACAAAGCTATTTATTATTTTATTAATGCCATTTATATCCCACTTTTGTACCATCATGGAAATCAAGGCAGTATATTCAGATCCAGGAGACGTTCTGTCAACAAGATGCAGACTAGCTTCTGCACGTGTGCTGCAAAATGTGCCTTTGGCCCTATGGTTGCCAGTCCTGGAAAATACCTGGAGACTTTGGGGATGGTGTTCTGTCAACAAGATGCAGACTAACTTCTGCACGTGTGCTGCAACATGTGCCTTTGGCCCTAGGGTTGCCCGTCCTGGGTTGGAAAATACCTGGAGACTTTGGGGATGGAACTGGGAGAGGGTGGTGTTTGGGGAGGGGAGGGGCCTCAGCATGGCACAGTGCCATAGACTCCACCCTTCATAGCAGCCATTTTCTCCAGGGGAGCTGATTTCTGTCAGCGGGAGATCAGTTGTAAAAGCGGGATATCTCCAGGCCCCACCTGGAGGCTGATAACCCTATGGATCACACACTGGGGACAGGGTATTCGGTCACAAAAATAGTTAATTTTCACATCACACAGAAGTGGAGGAGGGAATGTATGATATTCTCATAATGACATACCATACCAATGTCTCAGGGAAAGAACCCCTGCAAGAATGTCCCCCCATATGTTTGGTCATCCATGCTACTATGTTTAGTTTCATTGGGATCTTTCCATGGTCTCTCTGTTTTGTCATAATTTAATTTAATTCCTAATAATCATTCCAGTAAATTCCTTTAAACACACACACATTTCGATCATAAAAGAGCTGAGGCATTACAGGAAGGAGCCTGTCTGTCTGTTGCAAACAACCACTTTCTGGAACTGAGGATGTTTTCATAGCTGGAAAATGTCTTTTAGGTGCAGCTGTTTTTATGCCACAGTTTTGTTGTATTGTATTTGAACTGGAGCAGCATTTCAAGCTTTTTATACTGAAGGAGCTTATGTTGTCTTCAGCATGAGGGAGAAAATCAAAAAAGGAATACATATGAAATGTTCTGTAATAAGTTCTGCAAGGGACACCAAAATGAAAACCACAAACTGTACCGGGATGACAACATCAGAAAACAGCTGTACCGTGCAGAACAAAGCCACAGTAATTCCGGGCATTTAAATGTGAGTGGAATAGACAAGACTGCAGCACACAGAGCAAACTCATTAATGCCGCAGTAATGCTTTGTGATATTTCGCTTATTTATATTATTCTCTCAATTACTAATTGCCAGACGATTCTTGATAGCTTTATGTTTCAATCCTAGTGCATGTGTATTTTGCTACAATTATAGCATGTAATGGTAGCAGGTGAGTGGTACAGTTTTTTCCAGCCCACTATATCTGCCCAGCCCTGGATGGGCTTATGAAAATTACTTTCATCCTAAGCCATAAAGTATACATGACCGTTACAACTAGGTCTCAAACTGGACCAAGCTAGTAGCAAGCAGTTCATGTGTTTACTCTATTTAACCCATATGATCAAGGGGATATTAACCTACCCTTTTAGTGTGCTGTTTATTTTGGCCTAGCCTTCCTAATTCTTCAATAAAACTATGTTTTATTTGTATGCATGTTGTAGGTCCTTTACTTGATTTCTTTTTTAAATACAGGAAAAAGTGAGAAGGCAGATATTTACTGATGGTTATAACAACATTTCTCCAGAAGATGTTATGCAGACTACATCAAAACACCTTCAAGTAAATGCTAGTGGCCAAAGCTCTTGTAGAGGCATGAGATGTACAAAAATTAACCAACCACGGCTAAATTTGGCATCAGATCAGCTGATTGGTACTAAATTTATAAATTGGTCATCCAAGAATGAACAGTTAAAGCTTGCCAGCTGGAATCCAATCAACACTTCCCTCGTTCAAAGTGAACACCATAATCTTCTTCACTCAACTGATAAAATGGAAACAGCCAGCACAAAAAAAGTCCATATTACAAATAAAAGCACTATTTTTCAGTCTGGTAAATCTGATGTTCAGTTAAGGTACTGTTCTTTTGATTTTAAATATAAAGCTAAATTACTACTTTTTAATTGTAAATTTTAAATCAGATTTATCACATGGCATATTAATACAGCATTAACTAGAAATCTGTAGGGTTTTTTTTTAATTACTGGGCACACACTTAGTTGTGGTTTAGGCAATTAGCTTGGCAAATTCTGGGAAGGAATGGCAAGAATTTTCAAAGCTGAAGATGTAAATGAGAAAGGGATACAGAATATCATGTTTCATTAGGCAACTTCATTATGTGTGCAGCACACACAGTTGCTGCTGGTACTTTAGTGTTTCTTACAGTAAGTATGTAAAGTGTGAACAATATGCCCACATCTTTAAACATCAGTGTACATGCATCTACAGATCTCTGATCTAATGATTCTCAGATAGGTTTGTCTAAAGATAAAAGTGAATAATCTACAACATTTATTTTAATATTTATGCCCCATCTTTCCTTGAACTTGGATAGGAAAAAAATTACATCTTTGTTTTCACTAACCTCTCACTGAAATTAGGCATTTCCTTCAATTATGAATGTAGGCAACAGACCACAGTAGTGTTAGCATTACCTGTGACTTTGTCACCAATAGAAATCACAGATATTTTCATATCACATTACAGTTGTTGCAGATGTCTCGAAATATGGTTTGCGCTCATCACTACTCTGAAAGGGTCTACAGGCTTCACCAGACTGCCAAAGGGGTTCCTGGCACAAAAAAGGTTAAGAACCCCTGCCTTAGTGGTTCAGTTCATGCATTTGCAATAGGAAAGACCACAGTAACACTGATACAATTGAAATCACATCACTTTCCCAACAACAGGAACGTTTCAAAGGCAGTTTGGGATATGGCTGGGCTCTGCTGTTCAAAGAAAAAGGGGGAAATTGCATGGATGCCTTGGCCCTGTGGAATCTTGCCATGAACTCCAAGGGGGCTAACTTTCTATCATGAATACAGAGGAAATGAAAACCTGGGGCGATTTCGCACTAGAGTTGCCTCACGGCACAGCCGCCGTTTGCCCCGACACAAACATGTTAATTTCACACCCGAGGCTGCGGGGCTGCATTTTGACTCGCGGCTTCGCCCGATTTCCTCCGCACTTTCGTGATCCTGGTTTATAAGGCTTCTAGTTCCTACCCTGCTTTATCACATCTGGACAGTCACAGTAAGGGAGCTGCACAGGTCAGCCACAAAAACTTTCTAAGTTTCAGTTCAACATAAAATACACACCCACACCTGCTAGTCCTTTGTCCCACAATACAATATGGGAAATAATGATGTTTGTAAAGTATGAAAGAACAAGACTTTACTATGTTTTTTTATAAACCTAGTTTTAACTTTAAAAATGTTCATTTTATCCTTTCAGTGAATGTTTGTTCAAACAACCAGGTTTTGTAGTTAAAAGTGTGAGACGGCAAGTACCAAATACAGGTAGAGACAACCTAAAATACAAGTTCTTAATGCCTGGAGTGTTATTAGAAAAAAAGTAATTTAAATGTAGTTGTATATTACATCTTTGGCTGGACTTCTGTGCAATCAGACCTTTCTGTCTTCTCTCTTCCTTCTGTGCTCCCTGCTTGCAACCCCCACAAACTGCTTCTATAGGCTACAGGACCCTCCAAAGCAGGAAGCAGTGTGGTACAAGGGAGGGCAGGAAGATCAGTAACCTCTATCCCTGCAATTACAATTACGCTTTCTGCTTGTGCGTGTTCTCTAGATGGACTGTATGTACTGTTCAAGAGTAATAGGTGTGCCTTTGTTCAGACAATCACAATGTTACATTCTATATTCAATTAAGAATTTTATTTGCTTAAATGTCATCTTCTACTCTAATATGACTTTTTACAGATTAAGCTATTTACAGTATAAACATATATGCTATATTTGAAACATAAACAATGCAATGGACTTAGAAAAGTGTAACTCTGCTTAGAATGGTGCTTTTGGACTCCACATTTACATTAAATATAATGGATGTGGACTCGCATTTTGTTGCGTCACTGTATAAAGGACAAACTGATGTACTTCAGAGCCTGGCCACAGTTTAGAATTAAGCTAATCTTAGCGCATAATGTACAAACTACATTTTATTATCTTTATATAGAATTATGATCTCTATAACTAGAAAAGTACATTTGCAATATATATAACATGAAAAAGCTGAATATTTATTCCATATATTTCATATTATTCAAATAATCTCTTCTTTTAGAACCATTTAAATTGAGGTCAAGTACAACAAGTGCAGAGACAAGCCGTATTCTGACTACTATGGATTCTAAAGTATCAGAATTAAGGTGCTCAGGTATTGGGACATTTTTGCTCTTGTTTTATTTATTTATGTCATTGATACCCTACCTTTCTCCCTACAGCTTACATCAGTCTCCTCTATTTGATCTTCACAACAACGCTGTGAGGTAGATTAGATTGAGAGTCAATGCTCCCTCTAAACTGTGGAGTCTTTTGAGCAGAAATTCTACTTTGTGAGCTACTGGCATGAAAGTTGTGAGTGAGCGATTTGTCCACTGCATAAATTAGTTTGCTCTGGAGCCATCCTTCCTGAGCTAAGACAAAAATGCGTGAGCTGGAGGCTAAAAAGCTGTGAGCTAACTCACACTAACTCAGCTTAGAGGGAACACTGCTGAGAGTGTGTGACTCGCCTAAGGTCACGCAGTGAACTTCCATGACAGAGAGGGGATTTGAACCTGGGACTTGCAGATCCTAGTCTGACACTCTCCACTACACCATCCTGGCTTTATTATTTTGAGACATTTGTCACCATCGTAACTCACTGTGTTTTTGAAATAAGAAATTAGAAAGAAATCTGAAATTTAGGCAAAAAAGAAATTAGAAATTCTTGTCCAATTATACAGTGTGAACACAAATATATATATATCTTGGACTACTGCTTTGGAAGCACCATGTGCACATGACACAGGACTGGGGCTGGTGATTCCCCCCCCACCCCCGCTTTTATCCTGGTTTTGAAAGAGAGGAAGTGCTGTTTATTTATTAGTATTGTCAAATGAGAGTGGCAAGAATTGTAAACACAAATAATAAATTTTAGTTAAAATTCTGACTTTTAATTAGCAATTTAGCACTAGGTTCCCTGAGGGGTTCTCAGTGATTTGTTGTTTTTATAGCTGCATAAAGTTGAAAAAAGAAAATAATGTGGTAAAAGCAGAAACAGCCTAAGATACTTCGATTGTTGAATGCCATTTTTACATTTACCTGATATTTCTACAATATGCTATTTCCCCAGGCTGTATAACGACAGGACGTGTATTAGACAGCCGCAATTTTTGCAAGATTTTGCAGTCTTGTCAACATCTGTGTGACCAGCACAAAGTTATTCTACACACTGAAATGAAATATAAAAGGAATCTAAAAAGATCTCTTATCTCCAGAACAGATTCTTCTATGGACTATAATGGTAATTTTAATAAAATACAGAAGAGTAAAGGTGAAGTTAAGCCTTCAAAGTGTGTTTTCAATACTTCTACTAAAAATCAGTGGGTCTCAACAGTGTAGAAATTTGTCTGAATATTGGAACCTTTTACAGACACTGCCTGTGATATATCTCTCCTGGTTAATGGGCTAAAAGCAACGGCCAGCTGGTAGACCTATTATGCTGGTTGTCCAGTTCTGCACAAAATGCCATGCATATGAATTCACAGAAGATGAACAGTATTGCATATCACGGTAAATGAAACTGTCAGCGTTACCTAGGTTTGCCAGGTCCAGCTCTGGAAATACCTGCGGACTTTGCGGGTGGAGCCTGGAGACTTTCCCATTCCCTAAAATAAAATAAACAAAAATACAGCAGTGCAGTTTCCCTGAATACAGTCTTCATTTCCTCGTCCTCTTTTTTGCCTTCAAAGGGTTCCCCAGCAGCTGCACTTCCACTAAATGAAAGTGTAATTTAGTCCCTTGTCAGGCTTTGGTAGCATTTCCAAGCATGGCTTTATAAAGGGACACACAAAAACAGTCACAAAGCAGCCAAAATAAACAATGAATTCTTTCCCAAACACAAACAGTTTGCAAGCCCACACCTTTGTGATCTCACTGGGGCAAAGGTATAAATCGCTTTACTCACAGGAGTTGCTGAATGTAACAATCTGCTTTATTTCAACCAACTTTTCAGACTAACACAGAAAAACTAAAGTAAGTAAAACAGCACTCTAGGGGGTGGAGTTTTTCTCCATCCCATAACCAGGTTCTAGTTAACGATTTACAATCCATTTTATTATGCACACACACACACGACTTCTGAAACAAATGCAAAACAAACAGAGGGACTGTGCTCTCTTCCTCTACTGGGAAGAGCCACGTGGCTCATATCTGCTCCTTTATCTTAGCTTTTGTCCTTTATTTTAGCTTTTGTCCTGCTAAGAGTTAAAGGCACATGTACATTCTCAAACATAAACAGTTTACAAGTTTCTAAAGTGTCCTGCCAAGATTTAAAGGCACATCTTGGCTGTTGGGGTGGGGCTTCCCCCCGCCAGCCCGTTGGCCAGTGGCAGAGAGAAGACTGCAAAATTGGGGGATCCCACACCTGGACCTGGGGGCTGGCAAGCCTAGCTTCACCCAGGATCATAGAGTTGGAGGCTTGGTTCCTTGGTTTGGGTCCTAGAGTTCATTCTGATTTTTCTGCATGAATAAGATACTGGTGACTTTGACAACTTTGCCATCTATAGGGAGTACTGTATTAAAACAAACAATTGCTTTGGAGAAAAAATGGTATAAAAGCACTAATAAGGGCAGAACTCAGTTATACTGGCAACCACATGATCTTCGACGTGGTCTCTGTGCTTCACACCCATGAGATCTAGTGCGCATGCGCTGGATCGATGGGTGCTTTAGCAAGCTTTTTAAACGGATTTTCGCGCCCAGTCCCTCAGGCATGCGCAGGAACCCCACCGCGCATGCCCAGAGGGGTGGGTGCGGACATCCCACCAGTTCCTTTCTTACCGCCATGTTGAGTCAGATCGGTTCGCTTTTGGCTTTCGTCTCACAGCTCTTAGGAATTATTTCCTTATTTTAATTTTCCTCTCTTTTCTCTTTTTATTTGTTTGTTCTTCAAAAAAACTTTAAAAAAAAATTTTTTTCTGCTGAGGGGGAGTCTACGATTACCTCAGGCTTTCGGGCTATCCCCCCCCCCCAAAGTCCCCTCTTCTTTGCTTTCTTTTTTTCAAGTGGGTTTTTTTCAATAGGTGCAAGGGTTGCGGCAGCAAACTTGCTCCTCCCGACCGTCATACCCTGTGCATTTTTTGTCTCTGAGAATCTCACCGGCCAGAGTCCTGTCGTCACTGTGCTCGTTTTTCTACTCAAATGCAGAAAAACCGTGCTGCGCGCCTGAATCGGCCCTTACTCCTACCTCAGCAATGGAGGAGAGACCATCGACATCGACAGCTCCAGCATCGAGACCTGTCTCTGATGCCGACCGCCAACACCGAAGCTTCCGGCATCGACGGCGCAATCTTCCGCTACCACGCCAATCAACAAGAAGGCCAAGGCAAGTAAAGATCACAAGTCCGCGAAGAAGGGCACCTCAAAGTCCCTTAAGGTGGCGAAGAAGGGGAAGGAAGTGGTGCCTGCACTGGGTGATGCCCCTAAAGTGCCTCCCGCTCCAACGGCAGTATCGATATCGGAGGCCCAAGTCCCTCCACCGATACCGACCATCCAACTATTGGATTCCCCCATCCAACAAGTGGAACGTCCGTGCTCCAACATTGAGACGGTAGAGCTCCTAAGTCACCAGATGGGTGCTGAGCCATCTCCCTCTCCTTCTACATTGTCGGCATCGATGATATCGGAGGCTCCCGAAGTCGAAACACGTTGGTACCGACACACTTCTCACAGCACGCAATGTCATCCTCCGCGCCTCCATGTCCAATCTGTCGATATCGACGACCGAGACTACAGGGATGGTTCTCACAGACAGGCTACTGCTTTGTCTCCCAGACGTCCATGGTCCAGAAGTCGATCTCCCCGAGTCTTCCTGCCCCCTCCACCACCGATATCTTGGGATCAACGACAGTTGAGGTACCTGTACAGGACCTATCCACCATCCATGCTGTGGTTGACTCCGGCGGGCTATTCTGATTGGGAGCGCTATTCGTCCCACTCTGTTCATCTTTGTCTCGTCCTCTTGCAGACAATCCTTCCCACCATAGTCTGGAACCAAGCCGTCATCCCAACCCTCAGGTCACTCCAAACCCTGTCGTTCCACCAAAACCTACAGCTTGTCAAGAGGACACTTCGGTCCATATCCCACACCAAGACTCCTCTGACTCCATGGAAGAAGACTCGGATACGGAATCATCTGAGGCTCATACCTCTCCTGATCATAAATCTCCCAACCAGGCTGTCGCTGATGACCTACCCATATCCCCATCCGACAACCTTACGCCATACACAGATTTAGTCAAAAGAATGGCCCACTTTTTAGGCCTCTCTGTCGTCCAGCAACATCCAAAGGCAACAGATGCCGTTTTTGATGTAGTCCAGCTTGATACCTCTTCCACCTTGGCATTGCCCATGTCTTCAGTCCTTTTGCAGGCAGCAAAGGCACCATGGCTAAAACTCTCGTCAGACCCAGTGTTCACGAGACGACCGGACCACATGTATAGGGTCCAAGAGGCAGATGCCGAATTCCTATTCTTGCACCCTCAGCCAAACTCGATGGTGATAACATCTTCCTCTAAATCCAAGAGGACACACTCCGTACCTTCTGATAAGGAAGGTAAGAAATTGCAGACGCTTCTACTCCACAGAAGCATTGGGAGTCAAGGCCACTAACTATCTGGCCTGCATGAATAGATATCAATATACTCTCTGGGAATGGTTCTCTGAACTTCTGACCCACCTCCCAGAAGACAAACTCCAGGCAGCCAGATTCATCCAAAAGGAAGGCATGGTGTTGGCAAAACAACAGCTCAACACTACTAAGCATGTCCTCGAGGCATCCTCCAGAACGATGGCCTCTGCAATAGCTCTTAGGAGACATTTCTGGCTCCGCAATACTAATCTGCCCATGGATACTAGATCTTATGTGGAAGACCTTCCATTTGATGGCCTGGGACTTTTCAATGCCACTACTGATTCTACTTTACAAGAATTAGATAAAAACATAAACGTTTCTAGGAGCTCTAGGAGTGTCATCCTCTGCAAGGCAACCATACCGTCCCCGCACCTGGTCGAGATCCTGGCAGAGGCGTACCCCAAGTCGTCAGTCTCCGGACACACAATGGAGACCGCGAACATCTTCGGGAGGCCAAAAATCCGCCTTCCAGAAACCAAGATTCGGTTCCAGGCAACAATCTTCCTGCACCAAACAGACCAAACCCTCCAAGCAGGGTTTTTGACTTCCCAGTCACCGAGTCAGCTCAAACCCGTCTGTCACCTTTTCTTCAAATTTGGCATCACATCACCATGGACGAGTGGGTGCTGTCCATCTTGATCCGAGGCTACCAAATCCAGTTCCACCAGAACCCCAATACTCCTGTCGTCGTCTCCAC